CTGACCCCTACGACCCTGACTGCCTCAGCTCTTGGTACCACTCCGTCACATCTGATCTATCTCTCCACCTCCGGTCACTCCGTGTATCCTCGGACCATCCACCTGAACTACGACATGAACTTTTGACCTAAGGGAGTAATAATGAACACTTGATCAAAAAAAGAAAAGAAATGGACCCGTCTTCTGAGATGAGTTTAAAAAATTGTGTAGATGTGTTTTGTTTTTACATTGTGTGACTTTTTGCAGCATTAATGCTCCAATTCTAATAGCCACGCGGTGGTGCATTGATCACCACCAAGGGAGCGGGGGGGCAAGTGAACGACATGAATTGTGATTGCATCAGTATTTTACTCACTGAGAGACGGTAAGATATTTTTTTTTTACTTTTTATTTCCCTTTTTGTTTTTTTTCTTTTGGCCAGAGGGAAGAGGTGGGTAGTTCATGTGGGTATGTGCATTTTGCATGAAAAATGCGTTAATGATTCCAAGTGTACTTTGATGATCAGTTTTTTTTTTAACTTGTCACTCAGTAAAGTGAAAAATGTCACTTAGATATGCTTAAGCTGGGTGTGTGTGTGCGCTGTGCGGTTGTGATTGTATTACAAACCCATTTCACTCTGTAAACGTGCATTTAAAAGAAAATCCTAACTGATAGTAATGCACGCATCAGTATCATTTGGATACAAATTATTTTTATTTTTTTCACATGGACTGGACTGGATTTTTACCTAGTCTTGCTACATAGGAGCCTCCAGACGCACAACACTCCTTGGACATCATGTCTGATTCATGACACAGCATTTTAAGAAGCGGATGAATCTGGACTGCAGGCCTGCCAGTCGAGCAAATACACGTTTTTGTAATTTTTACAAAATTGAGTTTTGGAATCTTTTTAAACTAAAGCTTTTGCATCAATGGTCCCTTTACATACGACCTTCGACCTTCCTGGCCTAAAAAAAACCTTGCCTTTGGAAGCCTTTGGATGCTACTTTTCAACCAATAACTTTTGCTGTATCACCTGCCGATTGACCAAAGTACAAATTTGCGCTTTTAATGATTTTCCCAGAAGGTGCACCAACCTTTTTTTTTTGTTGTGGACGAGGTTTGAGTGTGGATGACTATTCGTAATGTGAATGTAAAGGTCATGTCTGTCCTGAGTGGATTCACTGTGGATAAGCTCATCCAAAAGACCATTAACAGCGGAACACGTGCACACACACACACCTACGCCAGGTTGCTTGAGGATGTGTGCAGGAGAATCCCAGCACAAAAAAAAGAAATGTCAAGTATATAAGCATTTAAAAAAAAACAACTTTTGTTGGGTTTTTTGTTATTAAATCCATAGCCAGGCCTTTCTGAGATCTGAAACTGTTTCCTGGCTACGCTGTGTATCCTTGTAATTCTTTTCTCTTTGAAGCACTCCTGTTACTAAAGTCATAGCGACTGTCATTGCTGAGGATGTCCAAGTTGGAGTAGTTTGAACATTAGGGTGACACTGCGCTGACATTTTTGATGATCTGAGTCATTTTACAGTATGTTTTGGAGTTTTGTGTCAGAATGTGTTAGTTTGCTGATAGTCTGCACATTAACTGAGGGGGGAAACAATGCATCGGTGGGTTTGGGGAATTGGTGGAAAACGGCTAAAGATGATAGCATTTGCGCCTGGTGTGTAGAACCGTCTCTTCTTTAGCTCGCTGTACTCTTATTTTCACCTCTTTTAAAATCACTGCCAGTGTTGGATCATGTGGAAGAGGTATATATTTTTAAGAGCGCCCTGGCGCCCCCTCCTGGTCTGATGTGATGGAACGGCTGTGCTGCAGGGCCCCTGAATTCCCACTAAAGTCTCTCAGGCAAAAGGAGGAGCAGCTCCGACTGTGTGTATGAATTTTGTTGATGAGGATTATGATTTCCTTTTGTTTTTGTTTTTTTGGAGTGGGGGTCCTGAATGAACGGGTAGATCCGATAGTTAACATGCAGACCAGCAAAAGATTTTTAACCCTAACAAAATATATGCAAACATTAGGAGCTTCAGAGGTATGACAGCAGAAGAAGAGATGACTTTATGCTCGATGTGTCTAGCAAAAATTAGAGTTTGCTAATGATGTCTTGTTTATTGAAATGCTACTACATTATGGTATATCTGAGCTAAGAACAGTCACTATGTCACCAGCTGCAATTTCACTGCAGCCTGACCTCTGACCTTGACTCCTATTGGTTCAATGTGGCGCTGCAGTGAAACTGTGGCCTTTGCATAGCGACCTTTGTGCGTCTGTGTGTGTTACTATGTATCCACTGTGCTTCTGTGGAGAGAAATAACGGACTCTTACGATCTTTCGTCTTCGTACGCATAACAGCATCTTTTATCCTTTTCATTTCTTTCTATTTACTCTTCTCATAGTACTGGGAGCAGGCTGCTTTTTTATATTGGATACGTACATGCTCAAACCGTTGGCATTATAACTGTATAATATAATTTATCATTTGTACTATTGTAACATACTGTTCTCCTGTATACCTTTATTATTCTGTGTAATGGGTTTTTGTAGGAAAAGTCACCGTGATATTTTAATGGCATCTAAACAAAGGCGCGCAGCAGGAGACAAACAGCCTGTTGGAGGAGAAAAACAAACTGTAGCTGCATTGGTTCCAAATAAAATGTATCACTTCAGCTCTGTAAAAACTGTCTCTGGGTTTTATTCAACTGTCAACAGGTTGGCAAAATGTGACAGGAAACTGGTTGATTATATCCACATTTAATTTTATAAAAAGCAATATAAACACACAAATATGAAATTGATAAAAAAGTTATGTTTTTATATTTTTTTACTATCTTACAGAGATGTCACCATCTTTTTCACTTTGTGTCCTCCATGTCACAAAAAAAGGAACAGTCGCATGTTTTAAGTCTTAAATGTCATTAAACGTTGGGTTGCTGTTCTGTCGACCAGCCAGGTGAGGCAGTGTGTGGGTTGGCAGAACTTGACGGCCCCGTGTCGTAACCCAACTTCTTCATGTCCTTGGTCATGATGTGAAAGGAGATGGTGACGAAGCCTTGGGATCGAACCCGAGTCACTACAGTGTGAACATGATAACCAGTTAAAATGATGAATATTATCTGTTGAGAATGTTTTATTTGATTGATGAAATCCCTTGTTAGTTGGATAACTAACTGGATGCACAGTTACATATACCCTACTGTACAATCAAAAACTGAAATAGCACAAAAATGTGTAACAGACCTTCTCGGCCTTCACCCTGGGCCACAACTTTAGGGTCTGTGTACTCGGGTCTTCTTCCCAACAACCAGCTAAATCAAAGAAGATGGAAGAATTAGATGTGATTTACAGAGTGAGAGGTTTTTCTTTTAAGCTGTATAAACACAACATAAAATCATGTCAGGGTTTGGTTTTTGGTTGTTTTTTCTCTCTTCCAGGAGCCTGAAGAAGAAAAATGTCTCCTACCTGGTAAATTTCTGTAGCCTCCACGTAGGTTCAGGAACAAACATGGGTATGGTTCGTTTATGCCTAGATGGTGATTAGAAAAGACACACTGATTCACTGGTTAAGCCTTGTTCTTGTGAAAGAAACAAATCTTATTAACCAAAGAAAACAAATTAAAATCTCATGTTTGGTGATTTGTTTTTAAATTATTTGATAAATAATAGCAGTCAGCTAAATAAAAATCACATTTGATTCATGCTTTATCATCTATTTTCCTCTAAATGGGAACGTACAATACAGGAAAAACTCCAAACTGAAGTTGATACAGTAAAATACTGACTGTCCAGGTGTCAAAGGGATGTGTGTCGCTCCATAGCCACGGACAACGTCGTTTCCAAAGACATCTGGACCGTACACACTCACCACAAGCTGAGGCCCTGGAATAGTCAAATGACATTTTTATTTTAAAATAAAAATAAATGTTAATCTATTACTAATTAAGTTTGATACTTCTGATGTTGTTTTTTGTGAGCTTACATCCAAAAGGGTTTGTGCTTTTAAATGTTGTTTCCAGTGGAAAATTCCATATTAGTCTATGTGAAGCCTGGCTGCCTTTGCAGGTTATTTGAGTGATGCCTTCCTCCAGCCCCTTCAGGTTAACACCGGAAGAAAAACATTAACATAACGTGGTAAACAGTTCTGAAGTCAGTGTATCGCTGTATGCATGCGTTTATTCAAGATTAATTGTGTAAATACATTTTTTATTTAAAGATATAGCCATTTTGGTTTTACAGTCACCGCCGTTAAAACTAACCTCAAAACACCGTCATAAACTTACCGACGTTGGAGCCCAATCATGTCCATAAACATAGCAGTATTTGCAGTAAAGGTTGTCATACTCTGGAAACTAAAATAAAACAAAAATCAAAATGATCATCAATACTACTAACTAGAGCGTTTCTGCAGATAAACAAACGCAACGAGTCAACTATTTGCTAAAGCTAAAGCTGATAATTGCTGCTAAGCTAAGCAGCAGAGGGAAAACTCACATTCGCTCCCTCAATTTGACCGTTCACCGACAGAAGAAACACCGACGGATTGCCTGAAGACATATCAGCCTTTTAAATTAACTAAAATGAAAAAACAACTATACAAACAAGACCGCAACTAGCCAAACGAACGGTGTAGACATCATCCGTTACCAATCGCTGCTCCAAGCTGCAGTTGTTGCTAAGGAAGGGTGCCCGCTAGGTCCAAACTAAACGATAGCGACATACACAATTATTTTAGTCCACGAGATGGCGACAGCGTGCTTATTAAAACAACCATTTGGCTTATCGTTAAGGATGGCATGAACTGCACCTGTGGATAAATTGTTTTGATTATTCCCGACGTACAATGTATGAAAGTTTAATTCCAGTCAGTTAAAATAAGGATGATAACTGTGGAATAAATAAAACAGCTAACAAACCCGACGAACAGACCGGTCATGGGAGCACTCAACACGGCAGCAGCAGCAGCAGAGTAAGTGACTTTTTAAGTTGTATAACGTTTGTCAGTTACGTATGTAAAGCATTGCAGGTGTGGAAAAAAACAAGTGATGCAATGTATTTGTTTTCTCAACTATCTGTTTGCGTCAGTACTGAATTTTATGTCATTTTTGTCTGCAAATGTAATTTGTGAACCAGAACTATTATTAAACTTGGGGAACTTCAATGTAATAATGACTTATTAAACTTGGGGAACTTCAATGTAATATGTAATAAACTGTGGACTATTATTATTAGTTTCAATTCAAGCTTGGTATGACATTAAATGCTAAGAACTGAATGAAGTAAACACAACAGAATTCAACATTTGACAAAGAAATAGGTAAATCCTTAGACATGTGAGAGACATGTCTTAAGATGTTCAAATTATTCAAAACACACTGTGTGTCTTTGAACAAATACTAGTTTCAGTATCCATATGAATTGTACAGAAACAAAGTATCAGTTTTGGCATGTTCTAGCTAACGGTGGGTCTAAATGTGAGTGTGGTTCCATGTTGTCTGTATGTGAAACTGTTCATCTGCAGAGGATTCATCAGAAAAGCTATTTTGCATTTCCGTGTCGTCATGCTGTGACGCAGCGCCACGTGTCAAACATCACATTTTCATTTGATTTACCCCCACACTTTCAAATGATTGTATAAAGCAAAGGGGCTTTGCTGTAGAAAAGAAACCCACAACAACATATACTTTAGTGTAATGAGTGTGATCACATATCCATTAGCTGCATTTGTTCACATAATTAGCTGTGTATTTGCTCTCCGTGTGGAAAATCAGCTGTTTCCAGCAGCTCTGTCACACAGAGCTTTAATTTGCCCCCATGTTTTGTCTCCATCTGCTCTCTCCCCTCCCACCTCTCTGTCTCACTCTGTCAGTGTGTGTCTGTTGTGTTGTGCTCTCAAAAAACAGCTAACACCCCCTCCACCCCACGGAGTCTCTGACCTTTACTACTCCCCAAACAGCAGCTCTATTTTCACCATCTATTTTTCTCCGTCCTTTCGACTTGTGACGTTCTCACCTCGTTTGTCACATCAGGACGCCAGAGTCCTAGCTTTAAGAAAACGATGGCACCGAAACCGAGACAAACACCATCAACGATTCTTCACTGTCCCTGGTGGTGGCTTTTTTATTATCCTCCATTTTTATTTCACCTTCTCCACAAGCGTTTGTTAATGTCACTTGTTAAAATCACTGTAAAAAATAATAGTGACAGTGAAGAAAATGATTCCTGTTAGGTATGTGACATATTTTCTAATGCATACAGAAAATATATCTTCCAATAGAACAAAACAGAATAGAATTGTAACTTTATTGTAATCACTAAAAATCACAAAATAAAACCAACAACTCATCTCATCATCATCATTTTTGGCCTGGTAGAAGAAGAGTTAATTCAATGTATTTAGCTTGTTTCTATTATGACTGTTTTTGAAGTGTACCTACAGGCCCCCACTCCTCACCCCCCCATTATTGTGCCCTCCCCCAGACCACTTCACTGGCCCTTCTGCTTCTCTACCTGCTAATTTTGCGCTCCTTCACTTCATGATAATTCTGTACAGCTTTCACTTTTGACAATTTCTTCGCTGCCTTTTCCCCTGACGACAACATGACCGTCCTCTTTCTCCCACTCCTGCTCTAACTGAGCACCTCCTCGTCTCTCCTCCCTCCTGTCAGCTCCTTTTCCTTTCCTGCCTCTGTTTCTCTGTCTCTGAAGAGCACCGTTTTCTACCATATGTCTGATATAGGGTTAGAGTTGCCCTGCTTAACTTAAATTTATTCCAGAGTAAAAAGTACTGCGTGTAGTTCCTCAGATCAGAATTTCTTTTTCACCTGTGTGACGATACCAGCAACAAAACATTCACCAAAAGAAACTTGAATTATTTTTGTCATCACTACTGATGGTTAGAGGTTTTTTACTACACAAAGGCATTAGAGTAAAATTTGTAATACACGAGGATGAGTAAAAAAAAAAAAATAGCATATTCAATTCTTCACCTGGTTTGTTTCCTTGAATTTTTCCCCCAAGGTTAACAGTGTTTTTCCTGTCTACTCTGCTGTGCCTGCATTCTCCATTGCAAAATCAGCATTTCTTTGTAAGTGGATTAAACCTGCCTGACCTCAAACATCCCACAAAAAAAACATTATGCTTTTAGGTATCCATGAAATCAGCAATTCAAGCTCTGCTAAGTGGTGCTCCTAAAAAATTCCTCAGCAGCATGAAGCTTGTCTTTACCTCTCTGGGAGCCCGTGCTGCCCGCGGGCTGCCACCCAGCGCTGTAACCTCTACCGTCCTTCACTGTAAAGGAGGCAGGGAGTGATGGGAGGCAGAGGAGAAAGCAAGGTGGCAACAGGAAAATTGATGAGAATTTGCTTCAAAAAGAATCGTTTGAGAAGCTAGTGCTGAGGGAAAAGGAGAAAGAAAAAAAATCACACAGCTGATGACGGTGAAGGGGGAGGATCAGGTGGGGAAAAGGAAAGATTGATTTGAAGGACTCGGAGTTGGGGGGGGGTTGGTATTTAGTTATTCATCATTTCAGTGAGTCTTTGGGGTCAGCCTGGTTCTCTGAGCCTCCCTGTGGTGGAGCTATAAGTAACGACACTGTTGACGTCGAATCCGTCCGGAAACATTGTTGCCGTACACCAGCCTGTCACAGAGACGCACTTTAGGGAACAGTTGCCTTCACAAAATAAAACCAACAACTCATCGCATCGTCATCATTTTTGGCCTGGTAGAAGAAGAGTTAATTCAATGTATTTAGCTTGTTTCTATTATGACTGTTTTTGAAGTGTACCTACAGGCCCCCACTCCTCACCGCCCCATTATTGTGCCCTCCCCCAGACCACTTCACTGGCCCTTCTGCTTCTCTACCTGCTAATTTTGCGCTCCTTCACTTCATGATAATTCTGTACAGCTTTCACTTTTGACAATTTCTTCGCTGCCTTTTCCCCTGACGACAACATGACCGTCCTCTTTCTCCCACTCCTGCTCTAACTGAGCACCTCCTCGTCTCTCCTCCCTCCTGTCAGCTCCTTTTCCTTTCCTGCCTCTGTTTCTCTGTCTCTGAAGAGCACCGTTTTCTACCATATGTCTGATATAGGGTTAGAGTTGCCCTGCTTAACTTAAATTTATTCCAGAGTAAAAAGTACTGCGTGTAGTTCCTCAGATCAGAATTTCTTTTTCACCTGTGTGACGATACCAGCAACAAAACATTCACCAAAAGAAACTTGAATTATTTTTGTCATCACTACTGATGGTTAGAGGTTTTTTACTACACAAAGGCATTAGAGTAAAATTTGTAATACACGAGGATGAGTAAAAAAAAAAAAATAGCATATTCAATTCTTCACCTGGTTTGTTTCCTTGAATTTTTCCCCCAAGGTTAACAGTGTTTTTCCTGTCTACTCTGCTGTGCCTGCATTCTCCATTGCAAAATCAGCATTTCTTTGTAAGTGGATTAAACCTGCCTGACCTCAAACATCCCACAAAAAAAACATTATGCTTTTAGGTATCCATGAAATCAGCAATTCAAGCTCTGCTAAGTGGTGCTCCTAAAAAATTCCTCAGCAGCATGAAGCTTGTCTTTACCTCTCTGGGAGCCCGTGCTGCCCGCGGGCTGCCACCCAGCGCTGTAACCTCTACCGTCCTTCACTGTAAAGGAGGCAGGGAGTGATGGGAGGCAGAGGAGAAAGCAAGGTGGCAACAGGAAAATTGATGAGAATTTGCTTCAAAAAGAATCGTTTGAGAAGCTAGTGCTGAGGGAAAAGGAGAAAGAAAAAAAATCACACAGCTGATGACGGTGAAGGGGGAGGATCAGGTGGGGAAAAGGAAAGATTGATTTGAAGGACTCGGAGTTGGGGGGGGGTATTTAGTTATTCATCATTTCAGTGAGTCTTTGGGGTCAGCCTGGTTCTCTGAGCCTCCCTGTGGTGGAGCTATAAGTAACGACACTGTTGACGTCGAATCCGTCCGGAAACATTGTTGCCGTACACCAGCCTGTCACAGAGACGCACTTTAGGGAACAGTTGCCTCCTGTTTCATAAAATATATTTTTCCCTAAATGAATATTATATCACAGTACAGCCATGCATGGTGTCCTATTTTACACCGTCGCTCTGCAAGCTTTGCATGTTCTGCACCCTGCAGGAGCACATCAGTCATGCACTGAGACAGTCCACTAACCCAGTGAACCTTCCACGTTAGCACGTTCAAGGTAATTCATCAAACTCTGTATATTTTTAAACTAAAATGTCTTTCTTTTCCGGGGACTGGTAGTGGCAGCGAGGTCTTCACGCCTCGTGGCGAGAAGGGCTTCAGTTCAGGCAGAGAGAACGTCTTTATGCAGAGGTTTCAGCCACGTCCACAGAGGGAGGCTCTGTGTATTCTCACCTTCTCTACTAAAGGGTCCACATGTGGCTCAGGAGCCAATGGTTGCACCACTAAAAGTGGAATGGTTAGAAATTCAAATTCAAACTCAATATAAATAAAATCTGGCCCATTTTTAAAAGTCAACTATTTCCAAAAATCTTCAATAATCTTGAGCTCTTCCAACTGAAATAAAAATATTTTATCATTTATTTTCTTATGCCATCTTTAATCTAAAATTCCACATGAGAATGACACCTTGTTTATCTACTTGTACAGACGTCCTGTCAACCAGACATGTTAGCGTGTCAGTATCTTTCTCACTAAAATGTAGATTTTTTTTTTTTATCCATCG